CTAATTGACAATTAAGATGCTTAAGAGCCATAGCTGTTCAGCCAGTTGCCCTTGTAAGTTTCACTGTTAATCCAATTCCTGCTTAAATCACTGAGACTTGCAGTGTTTCAGTATTGTAACTTCTGTTCCTTGTTTCCCATTCACTACACTTGCCTACATTGTAACATCTGTTCACTGTTTGCCATATTGTAATTCAAACCCCATTTTAAAACACTTACTCCATTTTGTAAGGGCTTGCTGCAACCTTCATTTTTGCAAAACCCTGCTGTAATCTTATTAGTTTAGTTTAGATGTGTGTGAATGAGCTATGTATGGAAAATGGATTCAACCTCCAATGCCAGCCTGTCCTGATGAAATAGAGTTCAAACACCAACGGCTGAAGATGCAGACAACAGCCCTAACAAAGTAAGAAGAGTCCACCCTAAAAAGAAAAGTACAAAGGTACAACAGAAGGAAGATCAAAGCCAGGTCCGAGGCTGACAGTCCCATCTGCAATTGATGGGTGATCAATCACACCGAACCCAGAAGCAGCGTGACACAGCAAGACCTATAGACTCTGGATTCAAACTAAAGCCTACAAAAAGGATGGGTGAGATGGAAGACTCTGGAGGGCAACTTTCTGCTGCCAACATGGGAGGGCAGAGCCAGCCTTTCTTTGTGCCTGGCTTTCCTGGTCAGTTAGCCGCCACAAGCTACGAACCCAAGCTGCAAAATCAAGCCACGGACTCAACCTATGTTCAGGACTGGTAACTATATACAGCAGCTGCAGAATGTCTGATAGGGGGGTGTGTGGGTATTGGGTTAGTTATTGGTCATATCAAATTGTGTTATCATAATAAATATGGCATCTTTGTCTTGGCCCCTGAAACAATCCTGTGTAGTTTTGCCTGCATAATAAGGGGGCTCAGGGGATTGGAGTGCAGGAAGGTTTCGGGCTCTGGCCTGGCACCGCTTACCTGGAGCGGCTCCGGGGTGGCAACAACACTCAGCGAGGCTAAGGCAGGCTCCGTGACCCCGACCCCACTCCGCTCCAGGAAGCGGCTGGCACCATGTCCCTGGGGGGGAATGGGGCGCGGGAGGCAGAGGACTAAGTCCGCTGCCCTTGCCTGTGGGTATCTCTCCCATTGGCTGCAGTTTCCTATTCCCGGCCAATGGGAGCTTCTGGGGAAGGTACCTACAGGCAAGGGCAGCGCATGGAGCTCTCTGCCCCTGCTCCCCCAGGGGCTGCAGGGACATGGTGTGGACCGCTTCTGGGAGCAGCGCTGGGTCTGTGGTACCACAGAGGTGGCAATCCTATGGGCTGGATCCAGCTCACGGGCTGTAGTTTACCCACCCCTGTTCTAAGGAATGGTAGGAGCAAAAACAGCAGAATAAAGACAATTGACTTCAAGAAGGCAGACTTAACCAAACTCGGAGAATTGGTGGGTAAGATCCCATGGGAAGAAAGTCTAAGGGGAAAGAGTTTAGCAGAGTTGGCAGCTTATTAAAGAGACATTATTAAGGGCACAAGCGCAGACTATCCCCATGCATAGGAAAGATAGGAAGTAGGGCAAGAGACCACCCTGGCTTAACCAGGAGATCTTCTGACAAACTCAAAAAAGCATCATGCAGAAAGTGCAAACTAGGTCAAATTACAAAGGATGAATATAAAAACACAAACAGGTAGGGACAATTAGAAAACCAAGGCATAAACTGAGATTAAACTAGCTAGGGACATACAAGAAAACATATTACAAATTCATTACAGCAGTGGTTTTACACTAAGATTTCCAAAAGGGTCTGCACCTCCATTCAAAAATTTTTAGGGATCTGCGGTTGAAACCCACTGCATTACAAGCATGAGGAAGACCAAGGAAAGGGTAGGCCCATTACTCAGCGAGGAGGGAAAGGCAATAACTAAACACAGCAGTGGCCGAAATGTTAAATGCCCTTTTGTTTCAGTTTTTCACCAAAGTGGTTAGCAGAGATTAGCCAATTAACATAGTGAACATCACTGTACATGCAGTAGGATCTGAGGCTAAAATAGGGTAAGAACTAGTTAAGAACTACTTAAACAAGTGGTGTTTTTGTTTTTGTTTTTGTTTTTTGTAGGTAGGCAGTCCTAGTGAAATACATCCTAGAATACTTAAGGAAGTGGCTGAAGGGATATCTGAGCCATTAGCAATTATCTTTGAGATCTCATGGAGGACAGGAAAGATCCCAAAAGCCTGGAAGAAAACCAATGTAGTACCTATTTAAAAAGTGGGGGGGGGGGGGAGGGAAAACTCAAGGTATTAGAGACCACTCCTCTTAAATTCGATACACCTCTACCCTGATATAACGCTGTCCTCAGGAGCCAAAAATGTTTACCGCGTTATAGGTGAAATCGCGTTATATCGAACTTGCTTTGATCTGCCAGAGTGCACTGCGCAGCCCTGCCCCACCAGAGCACTGCTTTACCACATTCTATCCAAATTTGTGTTATATCAGGGTAGAGGTGTACTTCTACAGATAACGGAGCAAATAATCAAAATCACTTTGTACCTATCTAGAAGAGAAGGTAATGGTCAACATAAATTTGTCAAGAACAAATCATGTCAATCAACTACTCTCCTTTGACAGGGTAACAAGCATTGTGGATGTGGGGAAACAGAATGTGTGATAAATCTTGACTTCAGTAAGGCTTTTGATACTGTCTCACATGAGCTTCTCATAAACAAACTAAGGAAATATAGCCCAGCTGAACCTGCTATAAGGTGAGTACACAACAGTTGGATAACCATACTCAAACTAGTTATCAGTGGGTCACAGTCAAGCTAGAAGGGCATATTGAGCAGGGATCAGTGCGGGGTCCAGTTCTAAACAATAGCTTCATAAATGATTTGGAAAATGGCATAGAGAGTACACTTATAAAGTCTGCAGTTGATACTATGTTGGGAGGGGTTGCAAGCCCTTTGGAGGACAGGATTCAAATTCAAAATGATCTGGAGAAATGGTCTGAAATAAATAGGATGAAATTCAATAAAGACAAATGCAAAGTACTACATTTAGGAAGGAATAATCAATTGCACAAATACAGCTTGGAAAGGAGTACTGCAGAAAAGAAACTAGGGATTATTGTGGATCCCAAACTAAATATGAGTGAACGGTGTAACACTGTTGCAAAAACAAGCAAACATGATTCTGGGATCTATTAGTAGGAGAGTTTGTAAACAAGACACGGGGAAATAATTCTTCCGCTCCACTCAGCACTGTTAAGGCCTCAGCTGGAGTAGTGTGTCCAATTCTAGGTACCACATTTCAGGAAAGATGCAGACAAAATTGGAGAAAGTCCAGAGGAGAGCAACAACAATGATTAAATGTCTAGAAAAGTTAACCTAACAGGAAAGATTGAAAAAAATTGAGTTTGTTTAGTCTGGAGAAGAGAAGACTGAGGGGAGAGAGAAGTACAAAAAAAATTGTTATAAAGAGGAGGGTAATGACTTGTTCTCCTTACCCACTAAGGACAGGACAAGAAGCAATGGGCTTAAATTGCAGCAAGGGAGATTTAAGGGCAGTTAAGCACTGGAATAAATTACCTAGGGAGGTTATGAAGAGCAGGTTACATACACCTGTGAGAGATGATAATACTTAGTTCTGCCTCAGCACAGGGGAATGGACTAGATGACCTATCAAGGTCCCTTCCAGTTCTACATGTCCGTGGTTTCTATGTGCAGGGCATCTCAGCACCACTCAGCGGCCGGCTCCAATCCAAACTGAGGCAGCGGGGACAGAAAGCTGCTCCCATCGGATAGTGGCTGGGTGGTCTGGGATTGGTGGGGTGAGTTCCCCATGAATGGAGGGTGTCCACCTGCCAACACCTTCCTGCACCTGTTGGCAGTCTCAGCAGAGGGCCCTGCTGCCCTGGTACTGCATAGCATCAGATAGGCAAGTGACAGACCCCCCGGCCCGACTCAGGGGTAGGATGTGGGAAGTCAGGGTGCCCATCTGCCCGTGGTGAGTGCTGCTTGTACAGCTGGAGAACTTACAGCGAGCTCTCTCTCTGTAAGAAAAATATGACCGAATGCTGAGGCTGGGGGATGGGGCAGGGCCCTTTCACGCAGGTGGGGCCCCGTCACCACCTCTAAAGCCAATTAAATGGGGCTGAGAGCCAGGCACACCCAGCGCCACAGCTGGGCAAGCAGCGTGGGGTGGCTTTACTACCGGCCCCAGCCCAAATTAATGATGCAGCTCCTGGCACCTGCTGATGAGCTACAGGGGAAGGAAGTTTCCAAACAGGCCCTTTCCCCTGGGGTTAACGCCTCCCCAGCGAGGAGAAGGGAAAGCACTGAGAGCAGGCACTGGGGTGCTCAGCCCCTTGGGGTGGGTGCAGGGCATCTTGGGGCTGTCAGTCCATTGGGGTGGGCACTAGGGATTCCTGGGTGCTCAGCCCCTGGGGAACTCTGGGCTGTCCGCCCCTGGGGATGGCTGCTGGGGATCTCCAGGCTCTCAGCTCGTGGGTGGGGGACTGCCTGCTGTCGCTTGAGGTTCCTCTTTCTATGGGTGTGTGGTGCGGAAGTGAGGGGCTGGCCCAGCGCTGGGGGAGCTGCTTGGCGATGCTGCTGCCGTCGGAAGCGGTTACAGAAGAGCTGTGCGGTGGGTGGGGCGGGCTGGGGAACCGCTGGCAGAGCCAGGAAGGGAGTTCCTAGCATTAGCACAGTCTTTCCTGAGCAGGAACTGAGAAGGCCCTCTGCGGATCAGGGGCATGAGTCAGGGTGGTGGGTGGGGCTGGGCGCCAGCCCCTTGGGTAATGCACGTCAGGGAAGGGCGGCAGTGGCTTGGTGTGGGTGGGGGACGGGGACTGGGTGCAGGAGCCTGACAAACCAGTCCAGCGGTCAGGGCTCCCTAGCGGTGCAACAGTCACATCAGGAGCCATGTCTCCAGGGTGACCCCAGCGAGCGTGTGGGGATGGGGCATGGCGCGAGGGGACCCTTGCCCTGGGAGGGAACCCAGCAGAGAGATGCTGCGGGGAAGGGACTCACCGTATTTCCAAGGTTACGGAGGCCGGTCAGACCCTGTACAGTCTTGGAGTTCTGCAAAGAAAGAGCACCGGGGGCAGATCAATGACGGCTCTCAGGCAGTCAGTCTAAAACCCCTGGCAGACACAGAGGGGAGCAGTGACCGGAGAGCTGGGGGGCCATGCCCTCTTGCCCCTCTGTAACCCCTCTGCCTGTCTGAGCATCCATGTGACGATCTAAGCTAGGAGTAAACCAACAGGCAGCTTTCTACAGATGCTCATTGACTCCTGCATCTCCACAGCCACCCCAGGGCACAGGCCAGTGTCACTACGTCCATGTTACAGATGGGGAAACTGAGGCACCAGGCAGGGCAGACACCTGGCCAAGGCCACATGGCCAGGCAGAACAGGGAAGGAGACCCAGGAATCTGGACTTCTTGTTCTTTGCTCAGGGTACACCTCCCATTTAAACCAATACTTCAAAGACCACCTCCTGCTGAGTCTGGGGAGCATTCCTAGCACCCACACTTCCACCCTCGAGGTGGGACTTTAGCCCTCATGGCAGCATGACCTGGGCCCTTCCTCCCAGTGGTCATTAGGGATCTAAGTGCCAGAACACCCCGGGGGACCACGCGGATATAGGAGCCTGGCTGAGTGAGCAGTGTCCCCCTCTAGTGGTTGGTGAACATACAGGGTAACAGCCTACTACTGCTACCTCCTAGTGGAGTTTCTCCTTCAACTTGAGTGGCAGAGGCCTGTGCGTTTGGACCTACGTTCATTCCCAGCTAACAGTAGGGGCGAGGGGTCGTTACACGAAGAGCTGAGGATGTTAACTGCCCCAATGGCCACGCAGAGACCCCAGGAGAAACACTCCAGCCTGCAGCGGGGTAAGAGGCGTAAGCCATGGAAGGTAGAGCATCCGCCCTCCCCTTAAAAGCACTGCCCGTGCCACTGTTCACCCCCATGCACACGCAGACTGCTGCGGCTATGGCTGGCGGAGATGGGTCAGAACCGGAACCATCCCCCCACCTCCACCCTGGGCTTGGGGGGCTCAGATTAAATGGGACCTGACTCAGCTGCTCAGAGGAGCATGGCCACGCTGAGATCAGCAGCAGCTTCTCCTGAGCACTCAAGAACCTTCCCCTTCCTCCAGCCCTTGGGAACCAGGAGGGGACGGGGTCTGTGAGAGGAACAGTGCTGCCCTGCAGAGCCCATCCTGCCCTGCCCCCAGCCTGGCGCTGCCTTGGCGAGGGGCGGGGACAGGCTGGCGAGGGGCGGGGGAACTCGGGCTTTCTCCCTGGAGCTCATTAATTCAGGATTCCTCAGACTCTTGCTGCGAGGGCACAGTCCAGAGATTCCTTCAGACATAAAGCCTGGCCCTGGGCTCAAAGTCCCGGGCAGTCTTTCATCTCTCGCCTGTCTCCTCCCTCCCCCTTAGCACCAAGAGCTCCGGGGAGCAGAGTTCTGTATGCCAGAGGCGAAGGCAATCCCCACACAGCTGATCTCTGGCCCCTGGATTTCCAATTGAGTGGATCCTTGGAGGCCAGGATGGGGGTGGCTGGAACACACTGCCACCCAAAGAGATCCCCTCACTAGTGAGGAAGGATGGCCCAGTGGTTAGAAACACAGATTCCCAGCTCTGCCTCAAACTCCTGGTGTGACCTTGAGCAGGTCCCTGGGGGTGTGTCCGCACTGTGGCGGGAGGGAACCCCCGCGGCTCAGGTGTGCCCGAACTGTGGCGGGGAGGCTGGGCCTCCCAGCCCGGTGTGTCCGCACTGCAGCAGGGAGCGAGAGAGTTTAAATGGGATTCCTTGGTCCTGCCGGGCTGTTGCTGAAGGACCAGTGAGTGCAGTGGGACTGAGAGAAGCCCAAGGGGAGGAACTTAAATAGCAACCAGCCTGAGCCATCGCCTTTCTTATTGGTTAACAGCTCTGTCATTCTGTGAGACCCAACGGGAAGCATGCCCCTGTTCCAACCTGAAAGCGGAAAGTAACAGCGGTCGGGGGGAGGGTTGTTTGGGGTCCCAGCCTGCTGAGCCCCTGCAGTGAAGCCGGATGAGGGGATGGGAAGCCAGGACTCCTGGGAATCTGTTGCTGAGCCATAACCCCACTGGGACTGACACCATAAGCGCGTAGGAGACAAACTCATTGTGCGGCTAAGAAGCAGTGCAGCCAGCACTGACAGAGGGCGGCCATGCCCAGAGAGCCCTGGGCAGGGGTTGGGGGGATGCCCATTGCCTGCAATACTGAACTAGGATGTGAAAGCAGCTTTCTGTCACTACTTTCACCCACCCAGCCTGAACTGGGTGCCAAGGTCAGGCAGCCGGAAAAGCCCCACTCAGCATGAAACGCTCCATCTGGGAGAGCATCAGGCAACCAGACCTTTGGAACTCCATCTATCTAGCTCAAGGGTAGGCAACCTATGGCATGTGTGCCGAAGGCGGCACGCGAGCTGATTTTCAGTGGCACTCATTGCCCGGGTCCTGGCCACCGGTCCGGGGGCTCTGCATTTTAATTTAATTTTAAATGAAGCTTCTTAAACATGTTAAAAACCTTATTTACTTTACATACAACAATAGTTTAGTTATATATTATAGACTTATAGAAAGAGCCCTTCTAAAAACGTTAAAATGTATTACCGGCACGCGAAACCTTAAATCAGAGTGAATAAATGAAGACTCGGCACACCACTTCTGAAAGGTTGCCAACCCCTGATCTAGCTAAAGTACACTCACCGAACTGCAAGCCAGCTTGGTTCAGCACGGCAGCCGACTCTGCCAGTCTCCCTGCCGCCCAGAGTGACAGCACTGTGAGCTTCCTCACAGCAGTGCCCCGACACTGCCAGCCAGAGTGACAGCGCTGTGATGTGCCT